GATTTTGTTACCTTTGGTCAGAGCAAGGCTAGCTGTTTACCCCTGTTAGCAGTCATCATGCTAAGCTAAGCTAACCGGATGTTGTGTCTAACTTTGTATTTACTGAACAGACATTAGACTGTCATCAATCTTCTCAACCACTATAAAAGCGCTTTGAGTGGTCTCTGCTTGTGTGTGTGTCTAGTCCTGCAAGGTGTTGTTGTCAAAAATGTATAATGTAGTTTTATTCCACGTGCCTCGTTAGAAATGGTTTTATGAAGTGTTGGCCTAGACAAGAAAAAAAATAGCCCCTTTGGAATGACACCTCATTCTCACCACACAACCACATAGCTGCTGAATTTTCCGTGTGTGCGTGCGTGTGTGTGTGTGCAGGCATCAACTAAAGAATCTTATGTAAAGTACTACTTTATTTTACCTTTGTTAGTCATTTAGACCAGTGTAAACACAGCGTATGATATTTTTGCATATCAGTTTATTCTGTCCTTTTGTTTCTTTAAACATTGATTACAGAGAAACATGGAGTGGAACGGAGAGTGAATGTGAGGCTTTAAGACATGAGACTGTTCCCAATCTTCTCATAGAACTCTCTGCAAGAAAACAAATAAACATATTCTCAAACTATATTTCTTTAACGTCTTCATATTATCACTGCAAGTTACATACTTGTAGTAATAGTAATAAATATGGGAAAAATGGGATATTTGGTGAGATTAATTTCAACGTTAAAAATCAGTAAGGCTTGCAGAGTGTCATTGTTGTAGACAAAAAGAGGAGGGTTGGGTGAAGGTAAACCTACAGGTCAGAGAAAGAAGCGTGTGAGCAAAAGATCAACAGTTAAATTTTTTTGAACATGTCACAAAGATGCAGATAGGGCCAGTGACTGAGCAGCACTCTCTCATCTCTCAACAAAAGAAGAAGAGAACCACATCCACCAACTACTGCAGTGGAAACACTCACCACACAAATGTGGTGTCACTGCCCTGGTGTTTGTGTGTGTGTGTGTGTACAGGCATCAACTAAAGAATCTTATGTAAAGTACTACTTTATTTTACCTTTGTTAGTCATTTAGACAGTAAAAACCTCTGGCGACCAGTGTAAACACAGTGTATGATATTTTTACATATCAGTTTATTCTGTCCTTTTGTTTCTTTAAAACATTGATTACAGAGAAACAGGGAGTGGAACGGAGAGTGGATGTGAGGCAGCAAGACATGAGACTGTTACCAATCTTCTCATCAAACTCTCTGCAAGAAAGCAAATAGCCATATATTTCTTTAACTTCTTCATATTATCACTGCAAGAATATATATATATAGTTACGACCCCAATAAAGGAGGAGGATGCAACTCAAGTTAGGAAAGATTAACATAAGTTTATTTAATACAACATGAAACAAAAGAACAATGTGGTGGAGTGCAAACACCGGCACTGGCGTCTGGGCGGGCAGGCCTAAATAGATTGGGCTCACTGGCCAGGTGCTCCCAATCTCCTCGATTGCCTGCGGAGAGAAACACAGACACCATACAGCACACAGGTCCACACAAAGAGCTCTTGGGGCTGTCAAAAAAAATAAAATAAAATAAAAAATATATATATATAAGGCTTGCAGGTGTCATTGTTGCATACAAAAAGAGAAAAGAGGAGGGTTATGTGAAGGTGAACCTACAGGTCAGAGAAAGAAGCGTGTGAGCAGAAGATCAACAGTTTCAGTTTCTTGAACCTGTCAAGATGCAGATGGGGACTGAGCAGCACTCTGTGTGTGTGTGTGTGTGTGTGTGTGTGTGTGTGTGTGTGTGTGTGTGTGTGTGTGTGTGTGTATCTATTCCTGCAAGCTGATGTTGTCAAAAGTTAACATTGTAGTTTTATTCTTCATGCTCTGAAACTTAAAGCTAGGAAAGAAAAAAATAGCCCCTGTGGATTGACACCTCATTCTGACCAGACAACCACATAGCTGCTGAATTTTCCGTGAATCATTGTTTGTTTGTCACTTTGTGTGTGTGTGTGTGTGTGTGAAAACATCAACCAAAGAATCTCATGCAAATTACTACATTGTTTTACTTATATTAATCATGAAGACGATAAAAACTGTTAAGACCAGTAAACACAGAATATGAGATCAGTTTATTCTGTCCTTTTTTTCTTTTAAACATTGATGACAGAGAGTCAGGAAGTAGAAATGAGAGTGGAGGTGATGCAGCAGCACCAACAACGTGTTAGTATGTGTCATTGTTGTAGTTTCATTATAAATACCATTTGTTTGGTTGGTTGTAAAAGTCAGATCAGTATCAGTAAACCTGCAGTAATTCTTGTTGTCTTTTTATTTTTACTTTCCTGAGCTAGTAACAACACAACTACAATAGCAGCACAACTACTACAACAGCTACTACAAACAATACTAGTTCTACAACCACTATACTATACTACTATTAATATAAAAAAGATGCATAATAGTAATGATGGTCATTCTAGTTGGTTAGTCTTCTTCAGTCTAGCAGAGGCATAATTGGAAAAAAATTAAATAAAAATTGCAGCAGTTGTGCAGATCTGTAGGCCTGACATATCAGACATTGGATCTTCTGGTAACAAATACTCTGGCGCCACCTGTTGTAACAAAGCGGTTTTCATTTCCTGTAGGCCTACTATGATGTCCTAGTGCTTTATCTGTAAAAAAAAAAAATAAACAAATCAAAATAAAATTACATTCATGATGTGTTGTGTGAAATAATCGTGTTTTTATTTTTATTTTTTTATAAATATTACCTTCTCTGTTATCTAAGGGTGCAGCAGGGTTAGCTGGTCCACCATAAATGTCAGTTCACTTTAAGCCTGTTACTCTCCAACAGGTACCAGTGTAGCTCCTTATGCTCCGTAGTACAGTATACATACAAGGCAAATTCTCAGGCTGTAAAAAGCCACTGCTCCTCATCCTTTAAGTATGTGGTGAGAGGTCATTTGAGGTTTTTATATGAGCTTTGGTTTATTGACTGATGATTTAATTCAAAGCAATGTTTTGAGTACGGTGAATTACCTTTTAGGCCACAATAAAACGCATTTCTAAGTAACATGAACTTAATAATTGTCAACATGAATGCAAGTATTTAAGTTGATCCAACATAATGTATTAAGTTAGGTGAAGAAGCTTTTTGGCCACAATAAAACACATTTCTAAGTAAAATGAACTTAATAATTAAGTTGATCTCTGCAAGTGGCTAACTGTCTAACATAGCTACTTGTAGTTTATAAACATAACTAGCCTACATGCTAACTGGAGCGGTGGCTAATGGATAATCCCATATTAAGTTAGCTTCCCAACAGATTTTCCCTGGCTACCTGGTGTAGTGGGACAACGGTGTGGATTTGTGCATTTTATATTAAATAATTTGGAGACTCAATTCCTCTTCTCTTCCTGAGAGAGAGAAGCAGGGAGGTGGAGATCAACTTTCAACAGACGGCTGAAGAGACCCCAACAGAATGGGGGTGGAAAGGTCACTTTCCCTAAGTGCTATTCATGAGCAGTTGATCGTAAAACTGTCCACCTTTGGCAACAGCCGAGATAAGTCTCTTGGTGCCTGAATTGTTAAAATGACAAAGAAACTAACCAGAGATTACAAACAGCCTATCGGAACTCTCCTTGGAGGGGGGCAGGAAACCCTAAACTGCCCCCCCCATACACACACACACGTAATCGTGGCAACTGGCAGCTTTTTCGTGGAGCCAACTTCATCGAGGTCAGACCGAGCCACGTGGTCTCGCCAGCGGCAACGAAGGAAACCTGAAAACAGCCGAATTGCCAGACGGAGGACGGCCAACCATTGAGGTTTTTCTTCAGACACGGAGAACCCCGGAGAATCCCTAGCAAAAAGCCAGGATCGGGCAGCTAGCGTGGGACCCGTGCAACAGGCCAAAGCAGGCCACCGACAAGCAGTAAGACCAAACAAAACATTCTGTGGTCAGGGATGTCCCATAGTATTAATTTTGTCTTTTTAACTCCTAAACTCATAGCTTACTTTCATTAGTTCTCCTCTGCCGTATGAATCAAATGCTTCCCACAATCGAACCTTCATTCTCATTGTTTACCCATTGTTTATTGCCCTGATGTATTTAACCACCCTTTTATATCACCTAATTTAGTTAATAAATTCATTGTAACCAAGGAATTGTGTGTGTTGCCTATTTCTACATCCCTGCCAAGAGAATTGACCCTTTAGATACCAGACTGACTGACTGATTGATAATTCAGCGATTATTAACTAACTGATCACTGGTGAATAAAAGCTACCTAGAGGTCCGGAGACTCTAGGATAATAACAACTCCGGTGGTGTCCCTTCTTTTTAAACGAGAGCTTTTTATGGATTGATATTTTCTGAATATTAAAATTCATAATTGGGTATTAATTCTCATAAATGTATTAAAATTCATAGCTAGTTTAGACATTCTACACTGGCCACCTATTACTCCCGCATTTAAGCCTACTCAATCAGTGACAGACTACAGCTACTAGCTAACTTTACCTCGGCACACAGACTGTACTATCAACACTGCTCAAATTAAGGACTTCTTGATTTCGGGATTTGGTTACAGTAGGCTATCACCAACAGAATCTTGAGCGAATGCAAATATGTGTAATTAAGCATAAAATACTTACCATTCACCATGTTACACTTTAATGAGTTTCTGCTGTGGCCATGCGGTCACTCGTCTGGCCTTGAACATGCCCGCATATGAAGGAGAGGGAAACTGTGGGCCGTTTACACGTCATCAAATTGTATTTTACATTAACTAAACTAAACTAAAGGTCCCCTGAATTAGTTTTTAGGGTGTACATAACTACAGTTTAGTCACACCAATTCACAACTAAATAAATTTTTATGTGGGAGGAGCACAGGTCATGACAAAGCGGGCTCTGACTGGAGCATCCGCGCTCGCACCCATGTCACCATGGCAACCCGTGAAAACTGTCTAATATCACAATATGAAGAAAATAGAACATGGCTTTTATTTTTGTTTATTTTATTATGTTTAATGGCAAAAAATGTTTTCTTACATTCATAATTCTTTCATAATTTGAGCAGTTATTCAAGATCAAAGACAAGAAATAAGAATAAAACAAAAAAATTGAAAAATAATGATACATATTAATTCTAGGTTCAACCAGGCAACATCACAAAACATAACTCACAAAAATCACAAAACTGTTTCTATCCTGAACTAAGCCCTCTTTAACAATAACATTACTGTAAAAATTCACCTGAACAGGAATCAAAGCTGCATGAACATTATTGTATGTAACAATATATGTAGTAGATGTTCATTCCTCACTGATTGACTCTAATGCCAGAGTATATACAGTCCTGTGGTAACTCCGTCTTACTTGTCCATCTTTGAGTTTGTCTTGAGGGAAAATTCAGCGCCACATAGTTCAGTGTCAGCTCTTCATCATCCTGCAGATGACATAATCATCGTTAGATGTTAGAGTTGTAATGCCACAACCAATGGATATGGTGTCCAATGTGCTATAAAGGTTCTAAGGTTTACTGTTTTATATTCTTACCAAATATGAAACCTGTTGGAACAGGAAACATTTTTTAAGTAGTTAATCTAATGTTTTGTTAAAGGATAAAAATTAACAGAACGTGGCCCCCATAAACTGCCAACTCCTCCCACACTCGGTCGCTTATGAGCAGATTAATTTTGCTGTTGTGTGATCCAAATGCAGTTTAAGGTTTCTGCAGCATTTCAGTTCACAATGATGTAGATTGATGAAACAACCCATTCTTCAAGAAATAACAAATTGCATGAACTAATATGTGTTGAAAGAAATGTAATGCCTCCCAGATTACGTTTTGTAAATGTTGTTGTGGTCTACGTATCTGGCAAGCCTAAAAAATTTTTACTGACGATTTTTTACCTCAGCCAGAATATCTGCTTGTATTGACTACTGCATTATCAAACTTGTTCAGGATTGTCAGCATTTGGTTAAGGTTAAGGAAAGACTGTGGTTTAGTTTAATGCAGAAATAGTCTGCAGTGATTTGAGACACAACATGTTTCTTAACATTTCTGAAAACACAATCTTTGTCTAATATTAACATATATTAATATGTTTTTATTGACTAAACCTAACCACAGAGTCTGGATGTTAAGCTCACATCTTGCATTTTGGATTCTCACTGTTCCCTCTGACCACCTCCCTGTGACAACGGTGTGGAAGGAAATGTGGCCTTTTCATTCAAAAAAGCACATTTCCCTGAACATAATCCAGACAGCGATTATACCATATATTTATATGGGACATAATTTCTAGGAGACAGGTCTTGGGCGAGGAGCTGCATCTGATCAATGTTATTTAAGAAAGTACTTTATTTAAGTGAATAATTGTAAAGTAATGTACATTAATTAACAATAAATATGTGACTGTCCTCACAAGAGGCCTTGTGACCTTTCAGAAAGTGCAAATAAACTATATACGTTAATATTGAAGTGACAAAGCCCTCCAGCAGTTGTTGTATTTATGATTCTTTTCAATCAGGAGTAAAGAAGAAAGTAATGGGGAGGCCGGGGTGGATTGATGGGTCAACACAATGTCAGACTTGAAAGTCTCCTAACGTTAACGTTGTACTTATTTTAACCCAAACCAAGATGTTTTTCCAACCTTAACCAAGTTGTTTAAGTGACTAAGCCTAACCAAACATTTACCACAGCTGTGTAAGATCAAAAATGTGGAATAACCATTGTTATGATTCAATTCTATTCATACATTAGATGATATTTAAATTATATTTACCATATCACTTGGTTGATTCTCATCTGACCTGTCATGCTCAACATGCTTAGAAGCAGTTACTCCTCCTATTAATGAAAGCAAGTCATTAATGGCAATAAAGTTGTAAATGAATAATACCGTAAAACTTCAAATTAATAGCCCTAAATCACTGAACTAACAATGTGTATCATGTACATATTGACAAAAATTTAAACATTCATATTTGTATGCACAATCCAAGCAACCTAGAATCAGCTCAAGCAGGTGACCGGTGTGTGTTTAAAGAGGTTTTATACATCCAGAGAACTTCTATAAAAACCGGACCAATTAATTGAGATCTGCTTTTATTTGTGAAAATGTGGCACCAGGCCAGTAAAAGGGACTGCTGTCTAATTGGGATTAGGCTTTTAGTTGAAGTTTTACGGTATGTCAGTGTTGGTGTCCGACTTGGTTGTAATAATACAAACACACACGATGAACCTACCTTTGCAATATTCACAAACTGGCTTGTGATTTCTCAAGATAATTAGCACGACAATCACAATCACACAGCCGGCCAGCAGTGTCCCAAGCACAATGATGAATGGGCACAGTTCTTGTCCTGGAATGAGAAAAAAATCCCAAAGAGACACTTAACTATATATTAACTGAAATTTGCTCCTGATTTTACGCATGGTCCATGATGATACAGAGAAAAGGAAATGAATGGCAAAAATAGCATGTCATGTCCTATTAAGGGGAGCCAAGCTCCCCCTCCCCCGAAGTTCGCATTTTGCTTGTACCAAAGTTTGTTGAAAAGACGTTTTCATAGGTTGGTAAGAGGCTATGCTCAAATTAACAAATTAGACATCAGTGCATGACATTGCTAATGTTGGTTGTCATTAGCAACCTGGTGGTAACTAGTTATGCTTAACTAGTTATGCTTATGTTAATTATAAATTAATTATGCAAATGCCTATGATGTCCCATTAAAATTACCACCTTTGAATGTAAATAGAGATCATGACCATATACAGTCCTGTGTTTCCCATTTTTCCAGTCCAGTCCTTTTACTTGAATAGATTTTTATACTACTAATTGGACTTGTACTAAAGTTAAAGTTCATCAAAGTAATCATACTTTTACTTAAGTAGAATATTTTAGTACTCTTTCCACCTCTGGAAACATCTCAACAACTTTTAGATGCCAAGAAACTCTGTACATTCCCATACAATGTGTCTGGGAACCATGAATGGGTTGGCTGTGGCTCAGGAGGTAGGTCATTTTGAAAATATATTTTTTAAAAACTTCAAATAAAAAAATCCAAAGATAAAATTTCCTAAAAATAAACATAATAAACATAACATAATAATAAACATTTTTTGTTTCTCTTTCCTATTATCAACACTGCACATAGAAAGCAACAGAATAATAATCAGTATAGCTGCATTATGAGTTAAATAAGACTTTAAAACATACTAGTCTCCACTTTAGTTCCTTCACCAAACAGGATTTCTCCACATGCGATCACAGGACAGTAGTACGTCCCAGCATCAGAGGAGTTCTGGATAGTTGTGGACAGACTGTAGTCACACCTCCCGTTCAAATCTTTGTCAGCTCGACTCTGAGTGTAAATAACACTTGAATAAGATTCTTCTGATCCAGCTCTGAACCAGTACACAAAGTGTTCCTCTGGAAACTGGACTCTGCTTGTATTGTTCTTGAAGAGAAGTGAACAGTTAAGAGTCACTGAGTCGCCAAGATGGACTGCTTGAGTGTCCGGACTTTGTCTCATGTAGACAGATTTCTGCTGAATTTTATGATCTGTGTGATTCACAAAATGGAAGGAATTAAGTCATGGATTGGGTATTGACACAGACATGGCAAACAAAAACACTGAAGTAAACATACTTTACCATTTACAGCCAACAATACGCCATTAAAATTTTTCATTTTGTCTGACGCTCCTTCTTGACAGAAGTATGTTGCTTCGTCTTCTTTGGTTACATTTGTGATGTGAAGAAAATACTGAGCGTTCCCTCTTGTGATTGTAAATCTTGATTTGTCAAATTGTCCTTCAAGTTTTAACTTCTTAAAAGTTCCTGCTGCAACTGTTTGGACCATATATCCAAACTTTAGTTTATACCAGTAAAACAACCCGGCTTTATCATCAATGACTGGACATGTCAGAGTCACATTATCACCACGTTTAACCACAGTCAAAGGGATCTGGTCAGGAACATCTCTGGTTTGAGCTGAAAAAAAAGAGAAAAACAATATCAGAGTTACTAGGCAACAGAACAAGTAAAAATTTAAATGCGTATCAGAAAGCCTATTTGAGATCTATTCAAATCATTTATATAAAATGTTGTATAGCCTAATATGTACATTTTTTAACAGTCCTCATCTAAAATAAAAAGTACACTCACACAATGCACTTAGAAGAATCAAAGCAGCCAATCTTCTGATCATTGTGTTACAGCAACCTTCTCTTGCACAACTGAGGCCTTCCTACTCAAGTGGAAGATTTTATCGCAAGCTTATCAAGATTTACAAAGTGGCAATCATAGTGATTGGCTGAAACACAGAAAATAAACTTCCTGTTAAATTTTGCAATCCAGTGACCCATTTTCTGTGACTCTAAGCTATAAAGTTTGATGTTTTACACTGATTGTAAAGTAATATTCAATTATATATAATTATACAGCAATAAACGTATACAATTAAACGTAAAATACCAGATACACTAAAATTTATTACAAACACATAATTCATTTGATTCCCACATAGTCTATGACCAACAGTTACAACACGTTTTGTCTGACAAGACATTTTCAGTGAGGTTAATCTACAAAAGAAGCCACACATTCATAAGCAATTCGATAAGAGGTGAGAAATGGTGGTGAAAGGGGGACAAAATAAGCCACCAGTGCATAGATTGTCCTGAAAGAGGTTAACTACTGCAGACGTATGTTTTATGCAACTTAATGTTGTAATGTATAACACAGCCTATTGAATAGTGCCATAAACTGTATTAAAAAACCATCACCACGTCAACGTTTTCACTTATCGATTAAGTAGCTGAACTTTTGCTGGATGGATTGACCCTAAAAGTTTCACAGTTCAAAATTTAATAACTGAATAATTTGTCATTCGGGACGAATGAAATAATTGGCAGTGCTTATTACAGGCCTGTAACAGCTACAAGAAGCCAGAAATTGATTTATGATTGATTGATTTATTGATTGTTGTCGGGTTATAAAGTCAATTTCAACATATTGTAACGGACTGGGTGACTAGTTGTTATTAATTGTCAAGAGTCAGAATGTCACTAGTAAGACTCTTATAGTCAGCTCTTTACAGCAATGGTGTATCATGGAGCATCTCAAAAGTTCCCAGAAGTTAACAGCAAATGCTAGCAGCACAGCAGAGCTTCAACAGAATATGCTATTTGGGACACACGTTTAAAGATGTGGTATTGTGCTTTTTGGCTTTTTCCCTCTCCTTCACTGAGTTATATACCTTTTATGTGCATGTAATAGGTTTGCAAAGTGAAAAAGCCCAAAGTCCAGCCCAAAGGGAGTTCCCATCTCCCATAGAAAACTCTGCTCTGAACTGCCTGAAAACAGCTGTTTGTAGTCCAGCCGTTTCCCTTTCATCCCTGTGACGTCACAGTGTGTCATCACCTCCCCTCTCCCTTCCAAACACTAGCTACCCTCCAGGCAGTCAATGGACATAAAGTTGTTACTGTGATGTAGAGGCAGCGCTCAGTTAAAACTTCATGGATGAAAGATACATTTGTTACAGATTAATAAGTCATCACTCTGAAACTCTGGCTCCAGCCAAGCTGGTCGGCAACATGTATAGCTGAAACAAAGCTATGTGTACTTCTCACAGACCCGCCCTTCTCTGCTTCTGATTGGCTATTACTGGCTTTTCGCTTATCCGCCCTTCTCTGCTTTTGATTGGCTAGTAGTCCTTAACTAGGAACTGCGCATCTGTAACTTTCAACAAAGATCATTTAGAGACATGATGCATCAGCTGCAGCAAGGTATGAAAAAAATATGGTGTTTTTTGAAAATTAAACCATGTAAAGCTTTTCTGGTACAAACCCTAAATAAGATTTTGAACCTGAAAATGAGCATACCACCTCTTTAAAAGGTAAGACGTGAAGAATGTGTTTATATATTACAGACACAAGTCAATCAAGTTAACGTGCATTTAAGCATGTTAGTGGATTTCCCCTACTAAATTAGAAGATATAGGAACATTAACGGTTAAAAAATTCCTATACAGATTATGATACTGGAAATGGATAAGGCCAGCAACACACAATATAAACAGGAGCAGACTATTAATTTATTTTAAAGTATGTTCCCATAATGCCACTTCTCAGGCCCAAAGTCTGACTCAGGTCGGCTGAATCAGTGAACTCTTTTAAGTCCCTTCTTAAAACATACTTTTATAGGAGAGCCTTTCCCGATCTTATTTGACTATTTTATCCCTTTTATTTTATTGTATTTTACTAATTTTATATTAATTTTTCATTCTCTTATCTTGTTTTTTTGTATTATTCTTTACACTTGTTAAAGCACTTTGTAACTTGTTTTTGAAAAGTGCTTATTAAGGATTATTATTATTATTATTATTATTATTTCATCCAAACTTGTGGAATAAGAATAACATACCTGAGGTATTTAATTTTAGTGAAATATATTAGTGGTACATGTATGAATAACAGACTTCAAAACGTATTTTTTTTTTTCACGCTTGGTAGTATAGGCTACTGACATATAGCAATCTTCATAGTAAACATGTATTCTATTAGAGCAGTAGGTTCTGCCTGGCTGAAAAACATGACATGTTTCAAATAATCCAGCAATAAGAAATCATTGTAAATGCCTTTTAAAATATAGATATAAAATATTTCGCACACCATCACACCACCACCACCAGCCTGAACAGTTGATACAAGGCAGGATGGATGCATGTTGCATGTTATTTACACCAAATTCTGACCCTACCATGTGAATGTTGCAGCTGATATCGAGACTCTTCAGACCAGGTATCATTTCTCTAATATTCCATTGTCCGATTTTGATGAGGCTGTGTTAATTGTAGACTCAGTTTCCTCTTCTTACCTGACAGGAGTGGCACCCGGTGTGGTCTTCTGCTGCTGTAGCCCATCTGTTTCAAGGTTTGACGTGGTGTGCGTTCAGAGATGGTATGCTGATGATGTTATTTGAGTTACTGTTGCCTTTCTGTCATCTCAAACTAGTCTGCCCATTCTCCTCTGACCTCTGACATCAACAAAGCAGTTCCTTCCACACCGCTGCAGCTCACTGGATATATTCTCTTTTTTGGACCATTCTCTGTAAACTCTAGAGGTGGTTGTGCCTGAATATCCCAGTAGATCAGCATTTTCTGAAATACTCAGATCAGCCGAACTGGCACCAATAACCATGCCACGTTCAAAGTCACTTAAATGTACCCTTTCTTCCCCATTCTGTTGCTCGGTTTAACTTCAGCAAGTTGTCTTTACCATGTTTACATGACTAAATGCATTGAGCTGTGATTTGCTGATTATCTATCTGTGTTAACAAGCAATTGAACAGATGTACCTAATAAAGTCGTGTATGTAGTTTCCAACAATAGATATTCCGGTGTAACTACTCAAAAATAAGGTCTTTTACCTTTTTAGTTTCGCAGCATTGTGGTATTTGCACGTCAGTGTCTATGAAACTACAATCAAAGCCACATGCAGCAACTGAGCTGTGAGATGTAGGCCGTGGCTGGCCATTTCTCTGCTTTTCACAGACCACCAAGCATGTTTACTCAGAATGTACATGACTTTGGGCATCAACAGGATGTGTAGCTAGGGTACAAGAAGCCTCCGTAGGCGAAATTTAGGTTAATCTGATAGTTTTGAGTTCTGCCTTCCTGGCAGAGATCCTCACAAGTCTTTGAGCTTGAGTCCAAGTCAAGTCTCAAGTCTCTGAGCAAGAGCAAGTTGTAAGAAGTTTTAAAGCCAAAGTTTATGATGAATAGCACTGTAGCTGCTGTGTTTGTTGTCTTCTCTCGTATGTGGCCTTGTGTAGCAGATGCATAGTATGTGTTACGTAGATAGGTTATAGGTAACGGAGGGAGGGGAACAAAAGCAAGCTCATAAGACATTTCCTAAAATAAACATTGTTTACAAGTCCTGCACCTAGAGTCTGAATCAAGTCTGAAGTCTTTTGAGGACGAGTCTCAAGTCAACTCTGAAGACATCGTGTGTGCGTCTTAAGTGGCACTCGAGTCCGAGGCTGTGTTCGAAATCATTGCTCATTCACTACACCCTACTCCCTATGTAGGGAGTTGTATGTAGACGACTATATAGTGATTTCACCGGCATTATTAAAACAACACTTTTGGACACAACCCCGATCAATATTTCGGCTCCGTTAATTACACCATTGCCTTCGGACAATCAGTTGGTGGACTGCACAGATACGCCAAGGGTGAGAGAGAGGGAGGGCAATGAAACAAAGTCTCATCTCCCAGGCTAATATTTTGATTGATGACCACAGAAAAAGGGCACTTTCTCTCCGGGTATAAAAAGGGCAGGTGCGCAAGCCCCTTTTGATATCTATGTGTGCATTTGCCTGTATATTAGTCATAAAGACAATAAAACTGTGAAGACCAGTAAACACAGAGTATGAGATCAGTTCATTCTCTCCTTTTTTTTCTTTTAAACACTGATGACAGAGAGACAGGAAGTGGAAAGGAGAGTAGATGAACTTGTTTCTTTCCAAAATGAACATACATTTAGTTTAATTTTAAATACCATGTGTTGTGTTAGTTGTAAAGGTCAGATGAATCAGTGAACCTGCAGTAATTCTTGTTGTGTGACATTTATGTTTACTTTCCAGAGTTACTAACAACACTACTATGATACCAGCACAACAACTACAGCTACTACAGCTACTACTACTTACACCACAAGTGCTTTTAATATAAAAATAGATGGATAATAGTAATGGTTGTTTTTTTAGTTGGTTAGTCTTCTTCAGTCTAGCAGGGGCATAATTTGAATAAAATATTAAATAAAACCTGTAGCAGTGAAGATCTATAGGCCTGGCATACCGGACATATTGGATCTTCTGGTAACAAATACTCTGGCGCCACCTGGTGTAACAAAGCGGTTTTAATTTACTATGGCCTACTATGATGTCCTAGTGCTTTTCTGTAAATTAAAAAAAATAAAAATCACATTTCATGATGTGTTGTGGGAAAATATTTTTTAAAATGTTTAACTTTAACATTTAAGGTTAGCTGCTCCAACATAAATGTTGGTACCACCAGTGTAGTGTAGTACAGTATACTGTATATACAAGGCAAATTCTCAGGCTGTAAAATGGCACTGGTCCTCATCCTTTAAGTATGTAGTGAGAGGTCATTTGAGATTTTTATTTGAGCAATTATTTTTAATTCTTTAGTTTATTGACTGGTGTTTTAATGTTGTCTTCCCTTGACTGTCAGCACATTTCCTAGGATATATTGCATTTTTGGAAACACAGCGGCCACCTTTCACCTTCACAGAAGTTT